TGTATAGCACAAATTTAATTACTTCGCCTGTGGACATATGAATCAGCAGACATAGCATATGCACTCAAACATCACAGGGATTAATCTATCCCATGGGTAGACACACTTCATTTATCACTTGATTACATGTCTCACAATGCTTGGAGAGGTTAACTAGGGGTGAAGTCACTTGATTCAGAAGTCAGGTCCAATTAAGTTGGCCACCTCTAATTTATACCCTTCCCAAATTTGAGATGTTCTCTTTCGTCTAGAATTTTTCAGATAAATATCTGTCCAACCTGTGCAGTTGGTTTTGTGAGCTGGTGGACTGCATTTCTGGGCTGATTGAACTAGCATTGGATGCAAGTTTTTTTGTGCAATGCGTTGCGGAATTTCTGAAGAGTCTACAATGTGTTTTTTTCTGTCTCTGTTGAGGGTTAAAATTAAATCACTGCCAAATACAGCTGGAGCTAAGCAAGCATGCTATGCATCGAGGGCATGGAGCATCCTGAGGTAGCTGTTGGCAAAAAGAATGGATTGTCCTTGCTAGCTCACCTTGTTTCATAAAGTTGGAAACATTTTTGATGCTTGCTTGTTCAGGTTGCTAAGAATTTGTTTCCAGCTCTTTTTCATCAGAAGCCACAGCATTATAATCCTTTTCAGACCCATATTTTATCCATCTCTCACACACAAAGAGGGCAGGAAGACTTCCAAAACGATGCATTTGTTTTCCTTGAGCTTTTTAAAAATCAACTGACAACTTGGAAAGTGAAACACGCAGATAAATGTTAAATGCTAACACAGCAAGCTGCCTTACTAAATCAGAACAGACCCTTTGTCTATCTAATCCAGTGTTGTCTAGTCTGGTAGCAACATTCTTGGTCTTGTACAAGCAAAAGTCTTGCCCATTACCTGTCACTGACCGAGTTAGGGACTTCAGCATACACAACACAGGCTGGACCTCTGAGTATAGTTCTTTATAACAGACAATTCTATCCATTCCTTTGTCTTTTTCAACTAGATGGACCCAGGAACTATGGGATTGTCTGAGGTCTTACATTGGGGAATATGCTATTGGTATACCTCTAAAATATGACATACTTTTGATCTGAGATTCATGTTGTAGACATGCGTGTAGGAGAAGAAAATATTGGACAGAACTTTCAGTTCTGAGTCTGAAAGGGAGATTGTGGGCTCCCTTGTGCACTTATAATGGCATCTCCAACTTATCCTCCCCCAAAGAAGCTGATTTATTTTCCATGACATTTCATGTTATTTTCCACGTTGCTTTCATAACACTGAAAAACAGATCGTGAATTATGTGGCCATAATTTGCAGCTAATCAAAATATTCTCTTGTCTGTGGAGAGTTTTGATTTTGTCTGCAGCTCTAATGGGTGAACACAGCAGCTGCTTCCAGCAATGGACATGGTCCATAACCAGACTGGGAATTGGGTGTAAATTTGTATCTTGACTGGATACTAAATGGAGAAAAAAGTTCTTTCAAGATATACTTGGGTTAATTTAATACTCTCAATATGTTCCATAGACCGCCAGCAAAATTCAGAAGCAATGTGTTAAACTAAGTATTTTTGGCATACGATCAAATTTTGTGCTTTTTTTTTTAATGCCTGTTGCGTTTGGGATTTAAACTCTCTTCTTCCTCCAGTTATTTCAGTTTTAAATCATAGCAGATTTCCCATACCTGAATATTCAACAGAATGAATGCTTAAATCATTTATACTATTTACAGATATTCCTATAGTAAAGTATTGATAACAAAAAGAAAAACTACTTGGAGCTGTTTAACAGTAAAGAAAGGTATAAATAGAGCATAAGATCAGGAGAAAAAAAATGGCTTAAATCACAGTGTTTTGCTTGGGGGAAAAAGAATGCCAGAATGGTACCAAAGTAGGTACTAGATAAGTGGAAGGTATTTCATAAGCAGAAAAGATCCGATAGTCTATACGTGAAGATAAGTGGCTGTTTGGGCCTATTGACTCCATTCTACAAAAGAGCTGAACATTCACAAACTGAATGTTTATGGCTGACTACAACTGAGTCCAAAATTTATGTTGTTAAGTGAGACATTTGTTAAGTGAGTTTTGTCCCATTTTACGACCTTTCCTGACACAGTTGTTAAGTGAATCACTGCAGTTGGTAAGTTAGTAACCTGGTTGATAAGCGAATCTTGTTTCCCTCATTGACTTTGCTTGTCAGAAGGTAGCAAAAGATGGTCACATGACTTTGGGACACAGCAGTGGTCGTAAGTATGAACCAGTTGCCAAGCATCTGAATTTTGATCACATGACCATGGGGAGGCTGCAAAGGTTAATTATGAAAAATGGTCAAGTCACTTTTTTCAGTGCCGTTGTAACTTTGAACGGTCACAAAATGAACTGTTGTAAGTCGAGGATTACCTGTGTATGCATATATAACAAATATGTAGGAAAAAGTGGTTGGGTGATTGCTTTCTTTCAATAGGCGCAAATATGTTCTTCAGATATGTTCATCCCTGGTTTACAGAGTCAACCCTTCGTAGCACATCTCAATAAAATCTGAACTGATTCTGGCTGAATTGTTGCAGGGGGATAAATGGAATGGTTTTTCTGTAGAATTCAATGCAATAGTTTGCTGTTTTGGGTCCTTGGTGCTCTCTGAGCTTGGTTGTTTTCTTTCTGATGTTTCCTTACTCAATTAGTTAACATTAACCCTGCTTGCTGTTAGACAGCACAAGAAATGGCAAACAGAGATGAACAATTCAGAACTTCTCAGTTAAAGAAAATAAAAAGAATCCATGCTGGATAGGTTCAGGATTTTTTTCCCCAAAATTCTGTAGCTCCAGACTTTAATTGCAGGTACTCAGAGGCATGGTTTATATAGTCATCATGGTTAATCGTTGATAATCATGCTGTCCATGATTTTGCCCGAACTATTTTTAAGTTATTTGAATCACTACATTTTGAAGCTGATATGTGTGAAGTATATGCAATGCTTTTTTGTCTGTCTTGCAGCTCTCAGTTTATGTTATAATACATCCTCAAATCTGACTTCATGTTTTCATACACACACACACACACACACGTAAACTGACACTGAATATGCCTGAGAGTATATACATTTTACCAAACGTCTTGCATTTTCCCCATTCTTGTATTCAGTTTTTAGAGAAGCAGCGAGTGGTATGGAGAAAAGAGGAGCTTACTGAATAGCAAGTAATACTTTGTGGTTTTCATGAATCAACTATACAAACCAAACAGCAGCAGACGTGAGACAGATGAGGAGGCTAATAATGAAAAATGCAGAATATAAGCTAGCCTTTCCTAACCAAGGAACCTGCATATGCACACCTTCTATTGCTTCTCAGCTTTTGTCTAAGATCAAGTATAGGTAGCCTTTGACTTAAAACCATTTGTTTAGCGCTGAAGTTACAACAGCACTGAAAAAGATGACTTACAACTGACCCAGCATCCCCATGGTCATGTGATAAAAATTCAGGTGCTTGGCAAATGGCATGTATTTACGATGGTGGCATCATCCCGGGGCCATGTGATCACCATTTGTGAGCTTCTCGGCCATCTTCTGACAAGCAAAGTCAATGGGAGAAGTTGGATTTGATTAGCGATGGGGTGATTTGCTTAACAACCAGGGCAAAAAAAGTTGTAAAATTGGGTGTGATTCACTTAACAACTATCTTGCTTAACAACAGAAATTCTGGTCTCAATTGTGGTCATAAGTAGAGGACTATCTGTATAGCATGTGCAAGTATAGAGTGAGTATAGTTCCTTCTATCCTTATCCTCTATAGCAGTGGTTCTCAACCTTTTTAATGCCGCGACCCCCAACCGGTCGTAAGTCGAGGACTAAACCGGTTGTAAGTCGAGGACTAAACCGGTCGTAAGTCGAGGACTAAACCGGTCGTAAGTCGAGGGCTGCCCAACCGGTCATAAGTCAAGGACTTTCCCTGCCCGGGAGCGCCGTGCATGCATGGTTCCGCCCCCTGCGCCAACCGAGGCGTAGCTGGCAAGCAGCAGAGACGGAGCAGGCCGACCACCAGCTGGCCCAGCTCAAGGGAGGTAAAGCACCCGCCGGAAAAGGGAAAAAAAATGGCGGACAGCCTTGCTTGGCGACCCCCGTGAAATGGTCGATCGACCCCAAATGGGTCGCGACCCATAGGTTGAGAACCGCTGCTCTATAGAATATAGCCTGCTAGCAAGGGATGATGGGAGCTATAGTCTCACAATTGGAAAGACTCAGTTTGGGGGCAGGATGACTTAGTAGGACTTTTGAATTCCGGAAAAGAGGCAACTCTCAACTCTGAAAGTATACATGCTTTGTTCCTTTAAAAAAGTTGCAGGGAATTTTTTTTAAAAGGTGAATGATTAAAAAAGCAACAATGACGAATAAGGGTTTACAGGTGACTTTCCAGTAGCACAACTTTACTTTGACTATGAAGTCTTTCAGTTGTTTGCTGATGGTTAGTACCAACTCAGTATATACCCTGCTATTTCTCTCTCTGTTCATAATCTAAAAAGAAAATTAAGAATAATGGAAAAATCTAGCTTCTCAAAAAGTCAGTTTCATTTTGTGAGGGCTTGGGGGGCATATCCAGGAGACTAAAGTTGACTATTTTCTTTGTATAAAATCTTACGTGCTCTTTGTCTCAAGAACCCTGTGTAAAAAGCAAAGAAAAGTCATGCTCCAATTATAGCAGTAAGTATAACTCAACAGCATTTGTTTTCAAGAAACACATGTGAAATAATGAAGGTTACCTGTAAGCATGGAGGTCAGAGGAGTAATAAAAACAATGTGATATAAAAACTGCTTGTTCAAGAACAAAGGCTTGAAGAGATTATTAGTGTTAAGGTCAGAGGAATATCGAGTCTTGATGAGTTTATAAAACTAAATGAGCTCATACGCTCTGCTGCATAGTTACCAATCAAAACTTTAATATTACCATCTGTTCTCTCTCTCTTTCTCTCTCTCTCTCTCTCCTTCTTTTTTTGTTCCCATTTAGGATTTAGTGTCTAGAAAGAAAGATAGTAAGGATTTCACCATGGCTCCAAGAAAAAGGAGTGGGCGAGGGATTTCTTTTATCTTCTGCTGCTTCCGAAGTAATGATCACCCAGAAATCACGTATCGGCTGCGGAATGACAGCAATTTCGCCCTGCAAACCATGGAGCCCGCATTACCCATGCCTCCGGTGGAGGAGCTAGATGTTATGTTTAGTGAGCTTGTGGTGAGTGATGGGATTGTACTGTATTAAGTTGGTGGGGTTCAGAACTCAAAAATCGTCCCTGGTTGGGAGGAGTGGTCTTAAAATGTTAGGGAAAAGGTAGTGATGGCCATCAAGAGTGCCTCAACTCATTCAAAGAAATGAAAATTTATCAGACGTTTGCAAGAACTGAGTTACTTTTTTCTTAATATTGGGCAAATGATTGTGACAAATATAGCACACTTTGTGGCCTACTGTGTGGTAATTCAGGAAATATTTGCCCTGGGTTAGGAAGACATGCACCAGCATGTGGTTGATAAGTAACAATACTCTGTATTTTCCAGAAAACAAAACAAGGTATGCATTTTCCTATACAAAATATAGCTGTTGCATGTTCCTGACTGGGTTTGCACATTGAGTTAGATTGCAATCCTTTAAAATGTGATTTGTTCACTAGGACATAATTGGCTGTGTCAATATATAAAAATAGGGCAAAAACCACTATATAAATCACAGTGAGAAGATTTACACAACTAACCAAATCAGAACCAAAGAAATCACATTTTTGGTAGAGACTTCAATGGAAGATAATCATCAGACATGACTTCACACTGGTGGCTTTTGGCTGATGTTTGAAACTGCTGAAGCAGTTAGACTGGATTCATACAGCAAGCCGAGGCATGGTAAGGTTAGCTTAGCTTATTGTATAAAGTCAGCCATTGTGACTTCTGAATCATGATTTAGGACAGTGATGGTGAACCTATGACACACGTGTCAAAGGTGGCATGCTACAACATTTTGGGGTAACATGCTAGTGTTTACCAAGGAAGAATTATTCTTGAAAGCATGCATTGTTCTTGCATGGTTTTTGGAGACGGCGAAGGTCACATGAAAATGGGGTGTGCTCTTGTGCAACCTCTGAAAATCGCACAAGAACAGGGTGCGCTTTCACCTGCTTTTCAAAGGTAGCAGAAGCAGGAGGATTTTTTGAAGCCACCTCAAGAACAAAGTCCTCCTGTGATCCGGAGCAGCCTCGCGTGGGCTGCAGGGGCCTGTCAGCGGAAAGATAATACCGCTTCTTTCTAAGCAGTATATGGCAGAACTGGAGAATCACACAGGATGGGACTGTATTTTTAAAAAACTAAATTAAAATGTAAAGAACTGTTTCGCTTTTGTTTGGGGGAGGGGATGACACACCAGCAGAATCAAGGTGAGCATTTTCCAAATTTTTGACACACCAAATCCAAAAGAATCACCATCACTGGTTTAGAGCTTTTGTGTCATAGGAAACTAACCAATTGTGTTCTGTTCAAGGAACCACAGTTATATACACAATAGAAACAATGGTTTGATATGACAGGTGAAACCAGTCATAGTAAGTGTCAAGAGTAGTTTAGCAACCTTTTCAGATAGCAGGAATAAGCCTAATAACAAAAAAATGTAACAGTCTCTGTGCCAGAGAGAGATAATACGTTCAATGTATTTACAACCATTCTATTAAAGAAAAATCTAGGGGTTTTGCAAATGCTGCTATGCCAGTCTCCATACCAAATTTTGAGATCGTGCCAGTCCATCTCCAAATTAACTACCCATTCTCAACCTCTTTGGAATAGCTTTTCTGCTCTCCCTTCCTTTTTCTTGTTTTGGTTCAGTGAAGGATAACTTCATTTTTTTAAGCAAGTTGTTGGCATTATCATGTAATACCTATATTTTCTTTTCTCTTTAATTGGTGTAAGGCTCCAGTTGAGTGTTGCATTTCAACATTAGTTAAATGGCTTGGAAACTCCTACTTACTGGATAACAGAAAACGACCCACTATTAAAAAGGAGCAAAATATATCTTGGCAGCATTGTTATACCCACTGGCATTCTGTGATGCCTTGGCCTCTCTGGCAGGCAGGCAGGTTTATTTTGCTTATATAGGAATATATTTAATTGCCTTGGCTCAGACAGAAAAGAGGATTTGAACATGTTCAGAAACATTGCAAACCTCTTTGACAGACACTCTTAGTCAAACAAACTAACTTTGGTAACATTGAAAATTTGATAATATTAGGATAAGTTTCCCTTTGATATAGGGATTTAATATTTCCACTGGAGAGAACATTTAAAATTTCTGCTGGACTTCTTTTTAAATAGTTCTGGTTAATTTGGACTTTGTGTTAAGCATGTTCAGATTTTTAAAATAAGAAAAAATGAAAGCAAAGATAGCCTTAGAGAAAAATTTCCTCTGCATTTGAACTCAATTGAAAGCACTTCTCACAAGTAATAAAAAATGCTAGCCACTTCAGGAAAGAAGCTTGAGTATAGAGTGAAAATATGTTTGACAGGTTTGAATTATGAATTCCCCTCCCCATCAACATTCAAATGCATCTAGAGGTGGTCCTCATTTAGCGACTGCCTTGTTTAACAATGATTCATAGTTATGATGGTGATGAAAAAGTAACTTTTTGACCAAGCCTCACATTTATAATCTTTATAGGATTGTAAAGCAAAGAAAACCTGAAGTAAGATTATAAGCGCAGTCCTTGAGATTACTTGGCAACTGCTTTGTTTAATGACCAAGTTGCCAATCTTAGTTTTAGTCACTAAAAAAAAGACTGCCTGTATTTTCAAACCAAGACTTGATAACTTTGTCATTTAGTAAGGGAACACAATAAGGATACATGAATAGAGTGACTATTACTTTACAAATATTATTAAGCTTAAGCTGAAGTTTTATTTGTTATTAAGGCTAAGCTGAATTTTTAATTAAATCGAAATACTTAATATAGGAACTGACAGCCTAACATGCTGAGCAGGAATTGTATAACCCTTCAGAAAAAAAGAACAGTAAGAAAACAGGAATGAAAATAAAGAACGAAAATAGGAATAAAGTTTCACCTCATTATCACATTTATCAGCATTTCATCTCCTGCCGAATTCTCTTGTGTATTGTATAACACAGAGATCCTGTATTAGCATTTTTTAGGAAACCGTGAGCTTCAAACAGATAGATAAAAACTTTAACTGGGAGACTTGTAATTCTTCCAAAACAGCCAAAAGAGAACTGCATGTGTTTATAGAATAACTAATTAGACAGTGTGTGTGAGGCAAAGAGGGAGAAAAAACTAGGATGGAAGATTGAATGGAATGCTTGAACATCAAGTAGGAACATTGCACATTACAATATTTTCCTTTTTATCGTATCTTTGTTTATATAACTTTATAGTTTGCTGGTTTCCCTGAAACCCAAGTAGGCATCTTTAGGTATGCAGGCAGCATGATGGTCCTGGATGACTCCTATCAACCACACTTTTCCTGCCCTTTAATCCTCCCAGGGTGCTGTGGCTGCCAAAAACTGTATTAGGGAGGAGACATTCTGCAGGGAAGATGTGACTCGCATGCCTTTTTCTATGGCATATTTATTGGGGGCTGTTATGCCTCTGAATGAGGACGATAAGGGTAGTATTAGTTATTATGGAGCCCAAAAGTGGTCTCATATATAAGCTCATATTGACTCTTTTTTCTCCTGAAAACTCAATTGCTTATAATATAGAAGTGATACACTTGATGCATACAAATTCTTGTGCTACCTTCCCAAGTATACTACATTTGATGAAGAATCAATTTATATTTGACCAAGTTCAAGAAGACTCCTAACCAGGTATAATTTTAAAACTCTGAACATCAGAAAAAGGGTTGCAATTGGAATTATGAAATTGCGATCAGAGCACAAAACCGCATTGCATACAATAATTTGGAAACAGCCTAATTGTTCATGTATGGTTAGAAATTCAGAAAGAGCAGGCATAGCCTATTACATCAAACTTTCCCTGGAAATAAGGGGGGAAATGGCTACAGTCACCCAAGCCTCAGACTCCTCTAGGGAGCATCTACGCCAACTTTTGAAAGGTTCTGGAGCTGAGCCCACTTGGGATCCCTCCACTCCTTACCAGCCTCTGCTTCCCTAGAACCTTTCAGGTGCCTTTTCTTTCATCCTTCCCCCCCATTGTGACACCAAGTGAGAGGAGCAATCACAGCAGCAGCATCTGCAGCTACAACATCTCATGACTAAGGAGTAGGCAGGTGTCAGTTGGCTGGGCAAAGCATGGGAATGATCTGTTCTTGGCCAACAGTAGCTCTCTCTGGGAGTTCCCTGGCTCAGCTTGGCCACCCACTAATGAACACTGCTGCTGGCCCAGCAGAACTCACTCCTTCTCTCTAGCCAGCCCTGGTGAAAATGCAGCCTGAGCCAAATGGAAGAATATTCTTGGCTTGATCTGTGGTGGTCTTCCCTGAAAAGTTGGCCTGGGAAAAAGTAGAGAGTGATTCCTGCTCACTGTGGTGTCAGTGAGCTGGCCCAAACATGGGGTTGATCTCTGCTTGGCTAGCAATAACACCTGTTGGGGTTGGCTGGCCAAATGGGAAATGTTCTACTGCTACCTTCAGTCAGAAGCACTATTGGTGGGCAAATGGGGATCATTCTTTCACTTTGCATAGATCACCTGGGAGGATATAGCTGAAGTTCCTAGACAGATAACTCTTTATCCTTGGTAAAGGGGACCGTTTGTCTGAATGGCCCGTTATCTGTGCAAGTCAAGGTTTCTGTTGGCTGTTCTTATCACTTTTGCTTAAAACACATAGAGAGAGAGAGAGACAGGCAGACACACACACACACACACACACACACACACACATGTATTAATTTTATGGACCCACTTGATCACAATGGGACATACATTTGAGGAAAGGTTCTTGTTACTGGTTATATCCCACCTTTACTTATGATGAGGTTAAAGGTTGGTATGTGTAGAATCTGTAAGCAATCCCACCCAGCACCATTTGCTAATTTTTTGCAAAACTAATACTGACTTCAGATCAGAATTACACTAAAGCATAAAGAAGTATAAAATGTAATGAGACTCTGAACTTATATTGATTTTCAGTTCTTCTTGTCCCATCTATTTATAAAACAGATGCTTAATAAAAGGCATGCACATTCAATCACCAAAAAACTTTATGATGAAAGCATAAAATCATTCT